GGTCTTGTGCGGGGCGGGTCCCACGGGATCAACAGGGCAGGGCTAGCAGTTATGGCTGCTCTCAGTCTTGCCCTCAGAGGCTTTGCTTCTCAATGTCCCGGTAATCGCTGCAAGCCTCTCAGAGCGAAAGCTGCCTTCGAGTTCCAACCACTGCCAGACAGTCTCGCTTCTTCCGTATGAGTCTGGGTCCCTAGAGACTCGCCCAGAACTGGAGCTCAGAGCCTGAGACTCCCTCCCGATTGAAAATGATAACCGCCCCCTCAGCCGCCAGCCCGCTCGGCACGCACCTCCGCACCTTAGTATTTTGCTTCCACACTGCGACTCCTCTGAGTCTCGGTATGCTTTTCTCTTTCCTTCTAGTTGTAGAATTTCCACTCAGCCAGCCTTCCTGTAGTTCTGGACGATGTCTGTTCTGTCTTTTAGTTGTATTTTTGAAGTGGTTGTGCGAGGCAGCAATCTCCGGTGTTTACCTATGCCACCATCTGGGTTTCTCTGTTCAAAATCTTTTTTTAAATATATTTTGTAATTGATTCCAGAGAGGAAGGGAGAGGGAGAGATAGAAACATCAATGATGAGAGAGAATCACTAAAAGGTTGCCTCCTGCAGGACTCACACTGGGGATCGAGCCCACACCTGGGCATGTGCCCTGACAGGGAATCGAACAGTGAGCTCCAGATTCATAGGTCAGTGTTCAACCACTGAGCCATGCCAGTCAAACAACAATTAAGATCTTAAAAGAAAACATAGAAATAAATCTTCATCGCCTTGGATTTAGCAATGGGATTCTTAGATATGACACCAAGAACATGAGCAACAAATAAAAAAGATAAATTGATTTTCATCTAAATGTTAAAACTTTTTGGCATCAAAAAATATTATCAAGAAAGTGAAAAAGACAACCAACCTACAGAAAGGGAGAAAAATTTAACAAATGGTATATCTGACAAGGGTTTGATACCTATAACATATAAAAATAACTATAACTCAACAACAACAAAAAATTAAAACTGGGCAAAAAACTTTAACTGGAACAGACATTTCTACAAAGCAAAGATACAAATGGCCAATAAGCACATGAAAAGATTCTCATAATTTACATTAGAGAAATGCAAATCTAAACCACACTGATATACTATTTCACATCTACTAGGATTATTATAATGAAACAAAAACAGAAAAGAATATGTGTGGGCCAGGATGTAGAGAAACTGGAACTCTCATACATTGCTAGTGGGAATGTAAGAAGTGGTCACTGTGGAAAATAAGTTGGTGGTTCCTCAGAAAGCCAAACACAGTATATGACTCAGCAATTCCACTCATAGGTATATGCCCCAAAGAATTAAAAACAAGTACTTAAATAGATAATTGTGCACCAATGTTCATACAACATTAAGCATAATAGCTAAAAGTTAGAAACAACCCAAGTACCCATCAACAGATGAATGAATAAACAAAATTATATATATATATGGAATATTATTCAGATTTAAAGGAATGAAATTCTGATACATACTACAATATGAATGAACTTTGAAAACATTATGCTAAGTGAAATAAGCCAGAAACAAAAGAACAAATATCTATAATTCCATGTACATGAAATATAGAGGTTACTTTACTAGGGCCTGGAGCAGTGGTTCTCAACCTTCCTAATGCCATGACCCTTTAATACAGTTCCTCATGTTGAGGTGACCCCCAATTTCATTGTTACAAATGAACATAATTAAAGCATAGTGATTAATCACAAAAACAATATGTAATTATATATGTGTTTTCCGATGGTCTTAGTCAACCCCTGTGAAAGGGTCATTCGACCCCCAAAGGGTCGCGACCCACAGGTTGAGAACCGCTGGGCTAGACACACCCTGGAGCCAACCTCCCACGGTCCCTCCTTGGCTGGCTGCACCTGGGACAGAGCTGTGGCTCAAAGGGCATCTGTAGAGTGAGCGGGGTCCCTCTGGCAGGTTGGGTCCATTGGGCTGGCCTGTGGGACCTGCGGGGATTGGGCTGAAACCGCTCTCCGACATCCCCCAAGGGGTCCTGGAGTGCAAGAGTTGCTGTCACTGGGCAGTTCCTGTGTTGAGCATCTGCCCCCTGGTGGTCAGTGCACATCATACCTACCGGCCAGTGGGCCGGTCGCTTAGCCTTTTATATATATAGATTCTTGCATGATATATTTTCCCATATGATCAACTGCAAACCTACTTTTACCTGTATATGCATATATTTTCTCATAAAGATTATACTAGAGGCTGGTAACAGCAATTTACTTCAAGGACCACAATTGGGTGGTTGAGGAACAGGAACGGCAAGGAGAGTTACTTTTCATTATATATTCTTTTGTGACCTTTGAATTATACTATATTCAAATATTACTTATTCAAAAATTAATAATTAAAATATAAAGCAAGTTCTTTAAGGGTCAATTTTAAATTATTTTTTATGTTTTGAATTATAATTCTACTTTCTGATTTCTTTCCAAATGAAATAATCTCGATATGTGAAAAACTTTATGCTCAGCTGTTTATTGTTAGAGTATTTAAATAGCAAACAACTCAAACAGTAAAAGAATAATAATAAAGGCAATAAAAGAAAAATCATGTAACTATTAAAATAATATCTATAAATATATATTTAAATATAGTAACATTTATGTCATGGCACATGCCCAGGTTGTGGGCTCAATCTCCAGTGTGGGACATGCAGGCAGCAGCCGATCAATGATTCTCTCTCTCCCTTCCTCTCTCTGAAATAAAAAAAAAAATGTTACACATACAGAAATATCTAAACTGTATATAAACGTTTTTAAAAATGACTCTCATGCCCTATCTGGTTTTGCTCAGTGGCTAGAGAGTCAGCCCATGAACTGAAGGATCACAGGTTCAATTCCGGTCAAGGGCACAAGGGCATGTACCTTGAGTGCAGGCTCCATCTCTGGTCTGAGGTCGGAGTGTGTGGAGGAGGCAACCAATCAATGTGTATCTCTCACATCAATGTTTTCCTCTCTGTGTGTCTCTCCCCCTCCTTTCCACACTCTCTAAAAATCAATGGAAAAAAGGTGAGGATTAACAACAACAACAACAACAAAAACAATGATTCTCAGTACTTACACTGTTGCAAAGAATCTTTGAGATATGAAACCTATATTCAATATTCTTTAGTGTGAATAAAAAAATTGCTTACACAAGGATCTGCTGGTTTTTGCTTACAAAGCTCTGTGAGTCCTTTAAGCAGAGTTGGTGTTACATATAAATTTAAATAGTCCTTAGCAGCTTGTCCCACTGGAATAGGCTCAACAATCACTGCAAATACAAATGTATCCCCATTAAAGCTAACATAAATGATGAAATATTGTACAGTCATTTAAAAGTTACCTTCAAATAAATTTTAATGTCATAAGAAATACTTATAAAGGTTTTTAAGGGAATAGAACTGATACATAGCATAATAGTTGATTCAAAAACACACAAGCACACACATTAAAAAAATAAGACTACATAAGACTGGCAAGAAACATATCACAAGAAAGAATGTATTTTATAAGGCTGAGTAGATCTTTTGAGATTGACCTCCATCAATATGCTACTTTTAAAAATTTATTGATTTTAGAGAGAAAGGGGGAGAGAGAGAGAGACATCAATTTGTTGCTCCACTCACCCATGCACTTATTGGTTGATTCTTATATGTGCCCTGACCAGGGAGCAAACCCACAACTTTGGCATATTGGGAAGACGCTCTAACCAACTGAGATACCCATCCAGTGCCCCAGACCCTATTTTAAAAATGAGAATCAGATTATATCACTCCCATCCTTAAAATGCTTCATTGGCTCTTGCTTGCATATACAGTATAGTCAAGACAGGACTCCTGTTGATTCCTGACAAGGGCACATCCCAGGGTTGCAGGTTTGATCCCCAGTGGGGGGTGTGCAGGAGGCAGCCGATCAATGATTCTCTCTCATCATTGATGTTTCCATCTCTCTCTCCCTTCCTCTCTAAAATCAATAAAAATATATTAATTTTTTAAAAAGTAGGTTTATGGCTGGGAGTACATGAAACACAGTTTATTCTTGTATTATTATTATTTATTAATTACTGTATTATTTTACACATGAACAACTGTAAACCTACTTTTGCCCCACCCTTTAATTCTACTTCTTTATCTATGATTTGCAAATATTTTCTCCCAGCCTATGGCTTATCTTTTCATATTCTTAATGAAAGCTTTTGAAGCACAAAACTTCTAATTTTTATGTAGTCCCATTTATCAATTTTTTTTATTATGGACTATGCTTTATTTTTTTTTAAGGAGTTAACATCCACCCAGGCCATTTTTAAAGAATATTTTATTGATTTCAGAGAAGAAGGGAGAGGGAGAGAGAGATAGAAACATCAATTATGAGAGAGAATCATTGATCAGCTGCCTCCTGCAGGCCCCCTACCGGAGATTAAGCCCACAACCCATGTATGTGCCCTTGACTGGAATCGAACCTGGGACCCTTCAGTCTGCAGATCAACGCTCTATCCATTGAGCCAAACCAGCTAGGGCTGGACCATGCTTTTGATGTTATATGTAAGAACTCTCTGTCCAACTCAAGGTCATGAAGATTTTCCTCTTTGTTTTCTTCTAGATGTTTTTAGCTCTGACGTTGTAGGTCTATGAAACAAGTGTCCAAGTTATTTTCTTTTGCATGTGGATGTCCAGTTGACATCTTGATAATACTGACTCTCCTGATCCATGAACATGGATGTCTACTTATTTAGATAGTCTTTGATTTCTCTCAGCAATGTTTTGTGCTTTTCAGTGTACAAGAATTACACTTGTTTTTAAAATTTATTCTTTTTTTTAAATATACTTTTTTTATTGATTTCAGAGAGGAAGGGAGAGAGAGAGAGAGAGAGAGAGAGAGAGAGAGAGAGAGAGAGAATTTGAAACATCAATGATGAGAGAGAGTCATTGATCAGCTGCCTCCTGCACACCCCCTACTGGGGATCGGAGCCCACAACCCGGGCATGTGCCCTTGACCAGAATCAAACCCAGGACCCTTCAGTCCACAGGCCGATGCTCTATCCACCGAGCCAAACCAGGTAGGGCTAACATTTATTCTTAAGTATTTTCTTATTGTTGATGCTATTGTAAATAAAATTATTTCCTTAACTTCATTTTTGAATTATTTCTACCTCCTCTATTTTTGCTGACCATTTATCATTTGTCTCTGGCATCTAGGGCTAAATGAGGTCATGAGAATAAAAAGTGTTTTTATGTTTCTTATGTTGATAAACTTCCATTGCACTTTTTAATGACATTTATAAGTTATACATCGCATTGTATATTTTCATAGGCTTTTAGAATAAGATCATCTTGAGAGCAGGGACATCTTATTTGACTTTATTTTTATTAAGTTGGTAACTCAACAAACTTGTTGAATGAATGGAAGGTAGCAAAGCTTTACCAGCCATCCCTATTAAAGGGAAAAGGAAGAGCACTAATTTTTTTAAGGGTTAGCAATATATTTTTGAATATCTTTACAACTTGCTTTAGCCACGCACCATATAGGGTTTTGCACATAGTTCTTGACTGACTGCTAAACAAGATAGAGCTCATACCACAAACTCTGAGAACTATGCCAAATAACTTCATATTCCCACAGCAAAAGATCTGCAATGTGGTAGGTAATTAATCACTTATATGTATCCTATAACTGCTGATTCTCAAATGTCTAACTGTATCTTTTAAATTCATATCTAGAGGATTAATTAATGGGTTAAATAAAAGGCAATCTAAAATAACAGTTTAGGGATATAACCTTATGAGTAAGAAGAGCTTCCAAATTTATCTTCCACTTAAGATAAAGTGAATTTTTATCCTATTTTAGTTAAAAACTAAGGAGGAAAAATCTAATTCATTAGTAGGACTAAATCTAAAGTACTACAACATTAAAAAAAAAATGATGTTGCCCAGCTGGCATGGCTCAGTGGTTGAGCATTGACCTATGAATCTGGAGGTCACAGTGTGAATTGTTCCGGCCAGGGAACATGCCTGGGTTGCAGGCTCGATCCCCAGTAGCGGGTGTGCAGGAGGCAGCCAAGCAGTTATTCTCTTTCATCATTGATCTTTCTATCTCGCTCTCCCTCTCCCTTCCTCTCTAAAATAAATAAAAATATGTTAATAAAAAGAAAACAAAAAACACACCAACTGATGTTTGAGATATGCTTCAAAATAATATGGAAGCAGGAGAAATAGGAGCAGGGGTTACAGATGAAATAAGATTGACCATAACTATTAAAATTGGGTGATGGGTTTCTTAGGGGTTTATCATATTATTCTGCCTACTTCTGTGTATGTTGGAAATTTTACACAATAAACAGTTGTGAAGAAAACAACACCTTAATACAATGGATATGTGACAGAAATTAGATCAGTAAGATTAAATATAAGTAGGCAAATACTTTTGGATACAAATATTTATAAAACAGTTTTTGTTTAAAATCAGGACTTTTAAATATCCAAGATAGTTTTCCATTTTCTTTGAATAAATATTCAATATAAAATAGGGAGGAACAAGTCTAAATGAGTTAGAAAAGAAATAACATGCAAAAAAAAATTCAAAACTACCTGATGCTTTGCATTTTGTCTTTATAATGAAAATCAGCAAATTTTCTTTGTCTTAAAATTATTGAAAACAAACTAAAAACCTCAGTGTTGTCCTCATTGTGCCTACTTCTAAAAGATTTATAGCCCAAGCAGGTTTGGCTCAGTGGATAGAGGGTTGGCCTGCAGACTGAAGGGTCCCAGGTTCAATTCTGGTCAAGGGCACATGCCCAGGTTGTGGGCTCGATCCCCAATGTGGGGTGTACAGGAGGCAGCCAATCAATGATTCTCTCTGATCATTGATGTATCTATCTCTCTCCCTTCCTTTCTGAAATCAATAAAATATATTAAATAAATAAATAAATGATTTATAATCTCTATAACAGGATGGAAACAAAAAAGGCCAAGAAATATTAATTTCACAATTGCATGTGTGCTGGACAAACAGTAAACTGTTAGAAAATGGTAAACCAATCATAATTTCCAAGGAAGATTCTTTTTTTCATGTGTAACAAACTTTACTGATGCATTATAGATAACTCAAAGGAATTACAACACAGAAGGAGAAGAGAAACCCTAAATATTTCTAGTCCAAGAGAAAAGAAAGAAAAAAAAGCTGTTCTCAAAAGATTTCCTAGAAGGCACAATTTAGTTCTGAAGATAATGTTGAGTTTTCTATTCTTGGCTTTAACTTAACTACAACTTGAAAATATGACAAAATATATTGGAGAAAAGCAACTACTTTTTTTCTAGTTACATCCCAAAATAAAAGAAAAAGCAAACAATAAGGAGATGCAATTGACTAATTACTCATCTATAACTCACCTTCAGGAAACATGAATCGAATTTCTCTTTCAGCTGCAGCAAAATCATAACTCCCATGAAGTGCATTCCTTAGGTCATCTGTGCCATAAATTGCCCTTAGACTAAAAGCAAGTTAGAGATGATGACCATCCTACCTGACAACCGCTTTCTTACTTTTCACATATGCATCCTATTTAGGTATTTTTCAAAAGCTTTGCCACTTCTCACATATGGTTTTAAGCTTGAATTCAAGCTTTAATCTAGATGACGGTCAAATATCTTTAAAATCTTCAGGAGGGATACACTGGGAAAATAGGAGTTTGCTGGATGAAAAAGAGGTGTTTTGTGAGAAGTGAAAAAGCAATATCAATTCAAAAGTGCCAGAACTCGCCTGGCTGGCGTGGCTCAGTGGTTGAGCGTCGACCTATATGAACTAGGAGTTCATGGTTCAATTCCCAGTCAGGGCACGTGGCCAGGTGGCAGGCTCGATCCTCTGTGTGGAGTGTGTAGGAGGCAGCCGATCAATGATTCTCATCATTGATGCTTGTATCTCTCTCTCCCTTCCTCTCTGTAATCAATAAAAATGTATTTTTTAAAAAAGTGCAAGAATTCAATGTCCACTGGTTTCTAGACATTAATGATAATGCTGGAAATCTTGATTTCTGGTCCTATATTATCAATATTCTTTCAAAATACCACACCAATTTTCTCATGAAAAACCCTACTTCAGTGGTAGTTTAATTCCAGGATAAGAGAATAAGGTTAATCAACCATAAACAGACATTCCCTGAGACCTTTTGTGTTATTTGGTATTAAGATACAGATTTAAATAGTTAAAACATAAAGTGGACCTCCCTGCCACCCCAAAAAACCAAACAAAAAAAAAAAGTTAAATTGAGGAAAACTTTTAAGTAAAAGAAATTCCCTATTACAATGAAATCAGATTTTTTTTCATTTTCATAGTTAGATTGCATTTTTCCCTAGGAAAATTACCTGAGGTACAGTGCAATGGTGAGGATGACTCTTAAGCACATAGTGGGGTTTAGAAATGTTGCCCCATTATTTCTTTATCTAGGCACTTGTCTAAGATCAAAATTTTCACCAGATCCTCTCCCTAGTACCTTCAGCATATGCTCACTGTTCTCCCCATCTCATCCCTCCCATGTTCATTAATTCATATTGTCCTGCGCCTAGTCCCATTTTCACTTCCTTTGATGCTCCTAGTAGTTATGTTAATTCTTAACCCTGTAATTTTTGCTTTTAATTTTGATACCTCTTTATGACTTAACAATAAAAAAGATGTATGGTTTTTATAAAAAAAAAAAAGAAAGAAAGAAAAAAAAGAAAATTACCTGTCTGGGTGTGTCTCCTTAGCTACTAAGCTATTGCTTGGCCCCAAAAGTTCTTTCCAGTAAGAGATGGCTTTATGTCTAGCTAATATCATGGCAACAAGTGGTCCAGAACTCATATAAGCTGTTAAGTTGGGGAAAAACATTTTTCCATACTGTTCCACATAAAAGTTACTACAATGCTCAGGGCTAAGCTGTAGTTTTCTTCTCTATAAGAGAAACAAAATCAACAAAAGCATTTAAAGTGACAGTTCAATAATACCTGGTTAAGTCATTAATAACTTGAAATTAGTACCAACCTGATTACAAATTTGACATTTATTTTTGTATTATGAAGAAAGGGTGAGGTAAGAAAATTAAATGTAGGATGTAAATAAAATTGTAAGATTTAACCAACTTAAGAAAAACTATTCCATCAACACATGCTTTTTAAAAAAATATATATTTTTATTGATTTCAGAGGAAGGGAAAGGGAGAGATAGAAACATCAAAGTTATATAAGCCGAAACCGGTTTGGCTCAGTGGATAGAGCGTCGGCCTGCGGACTGAAGGGTCCCAGGTTCGATTCCGGTCAAGGGCATGTACCTGGGTTGCGCGCACATCTCCGGCGGGGGATGTGCAGGAGGCAGCTGATCGATGTTTCTCTCTCATCGATGTTTCTAACTCTCTATCTCTCTCCCTTTCTCTCTGTAAAAAATCAATAAAATATATTAAAAAAAAAAAAAGAAACATCAATAATGGGAATCGAACCTCTGACCCTTTGGTGTGCAGGTCAACACTCTAACCACTGAACCATACCACCCAGGGCAGTATTTTGTTGATGTATACTCCGTGTACATTAAAGTAACAAAAATGGACCTTAAAATATTCCAATTCATTCTTCTTATCTGTTTGTGGTATTTTCCTATTGATTGTGAAAATTTCCTACAGTATTTTAAGGGAACTGGTCTCATTGTGGCACTTAGAAATAATATGCAGTGGTTTCAAGACGGCAGCAGAGTAGGTGGATCTTTCTTGCACTTCCTCCCAGAACCAAACTGGAAATAAAACTAAACTGGGGAACATTCACCCTGAGGACTAGCTGAAGAGGAGATTTTTAACAAAAAAGTGCAGAAACTACCACAAGACTGGTACGAAAGGCTGCGTCAGGAGAGGGACTGGCCCAGCTCCGACAGGCTGCAGGCCAAGGGTAAGGAGGGATATCTAGGTTGTGGGGAGTTTTCCTGGAGAGGAGCAAGGCCTGGACCACACGCCAGGCTCCTTAGTCCAGAGCACCAGAGCAGAGAACAGTGATCCACATAACAACCAGCTGTGAAAGGTATCAAGGCGTCTATCCATCAGGAGGAGAATGAACCTATTAGAGATAAAGCCATGCCCAGCAGTTGTGCTCAGTGGATGAGCATCAGACCATAAACCAAGAGGTTCTGGGTTCCATTCCTGGTCAGGACACATGCTTGGGTTGTGGGCTCAATCCCTAGTGTGGGGCATGTAGGAGGTAGCCAATTAATGATTCACCATTGATGTTTCTTTCTCTCTCTCTCTGAAATCAATAAAAATATATTTTTAAAAAACCTATATATGTCACTTCCTATTAATACATACATTAGATATACTAATACATGTATTGATATAAAGTAGGACTGTTGAATAATAGGGTATGCCATCTGTAATAACGATAGAAACTTGCCAGATTCCCTACCACAGGGGCCATGCCATGTACTTCTATATTTTTGACAGATGCTTTCTCAGTGTTATTTTAATTTGCTTTTTTCATACTTAGAGATTGAGTATCTTTTCATATGTTCAAGAAGCATTTGTTTTCTTTAATTGATTTTTGAGAGAGAAAGAGGAAGGGAGAGAGAAACATTGATTTGTTGATCCACTTATTCATGCATTCATTGGTTGATGCCTTTATGTACCCTGACCAGGGATCAAACCTGTGAACTACGGGGTCAGGGCCAAGAAGTATTTTTCTTTCTCTGTAATCATCTACATGTTCTGCCAATTTTCAGCTGAATTTTTATCTTTTTCTAGGAGCTCTTTCTATATTAGGGAGATTAGGCCTTTGTGATAGGAGTTGCAAATGTTTTTTTCAAGTTTGTCATTTGTGTTTTGACTTTGCCTACGGTGTTTATTTGGTCATGCATAAGTTTTTTATGTTTATAGTCCTATCAATCTTTTCTTTCATGGTTCCTAGACTTTAAGTCAAAGTAAAAAAGGCTATCCCACTCCAAGAATAAAGAAAATCATCTTGCCCTAGCTGGTTTGGCTCAGGTGATAGAGCATTGGCATATAGACCAAAGGGTCCTGGGTTTGATTTTGGTCAAGGGCATGTACCTTGGTTGCAGGCTTCTCTCTGGCCTGGGCTCTGGTGCAGGAGGCAACCAATCAATGTGTTTCTCTCAGATTGATGTTTCTCTCTGTCTTTCCCTCTCTCTTCTATTCTCCCTAAAATATCGATGGAAAATATTCTAGGGTGAAATTAACAACAACAAAAAAATTTCTTTAAAAAAGAAATTCATCTTTTCTTCTAGAATATATATGGTTTATATTTTTAATATTTAAATTTCAGAACCATTTGCCATTTATCCTGCTGTATGTAGTATAATACTTGAATCCAACTTTTTAAAAAAATCACAAATAGGATTTTTTATTTGTCAGCATTAAATGTCTGAATTTTAAACAGATTCTCAGGCTGGGGGCTCATATCCATTAGCTCATTCAACTTCAGCACCTGTCTGATCCCCAGTAGCTTTTCCAGAACTGCTACCTTCACTATGAAGCTCCATGAGTTTTCCCAATTCAAATTTGAACTTCTTCAGCATTTTGACTTTTCTTACAAAGATATCATGGAGAGAATAAATAGATTGGTAAGCTTGTTCTGCCTTTTCTAATGCTATCTGGAATCAATTAATTGACCACTTCTTTCAAGTCATTTGTTTGCACCTCTTGGGTCATGATTTCCAACAGGTTCTGGATTTGGTGGACCTGTTGATGCTGAGCTTAAGAGTCTTCCAAATCTGATTGTTTCACTTTTTAAAAAAAATAAAAACAACAAAGATATATGAAGCAAATAACTATTGCTAATCTTGACATCAACATGAGCTTCTATCATGATCTGCCACTTTTTTACCATTTTGTCACAGGTAAGATCCATGCCATGGAAATTAGTCACAGTTTTTGCCTGAACAGCTTCAGTAATTAGCTTGAATTTTCTAAATGCAACTTATCATTCTGCAGATCAGCTAGGCTCATTTAAAAAACATGACCCTTGAGACCATCAGATGTGATTTTGGTTCCTTGAGTTCTCATGACTAGTGTTTTTCCAACATTTCTTTTTTTAAAAATATTTATTTATTTATTTATTTCTTTTAATCTATTGACTTTTAGAGGGAGTGGAAGGGTGGGAGGTGGAGAAAGAGAAACATGGATGAGAGAGACACATCAATTGGTTGCCTCCACATGTGCCCCTAACTGGAGACAGGGATAGAACATGCCCTTGATCAGGAATTGAACCCTCGGCCCTTTGTCAGTAATTAGCTTGAATTTTCTAAATGCAACTTATCATTCTGCAGATCAGCTAGGCTCATTTAAAAAACATGACCCTTGAGACCATCAGATGTGATTTTGGTTCCTTGAGTTCTCATGACTAGTGTTTTTCCAACATTTCTTTTTTTAAAAATATTTATTTATTTATTTATTTTTAACCCTCACCTGAGGATATTTTTTTCCATTGATTTTTAGACAAAATACATTTAAC